CCCTTTTATTTGTAAATATAATAATCTTTTATATGAATTTAATAAAATTTAATATAATGTTCAGGGGTGCTTAATTTTAAAGGATATATAAATATAGGGGTGCTTATTTTTGAGGGATGCTTATTTTCGAGAGTATACGGTAACAAGTATAATTAAATATTCTTAATCAATAAAAATAATTTATGTCCTAATAAAATTAATATTTTAAATAAAAAATTTAAATTAAAGTAACAAGTATAGTTAAAAACTGATAGTTAATAAAAATAAATTACCATCTATTTTATTAATAATTATTTTTATAAAAAAAAATTTAGATGACTTTAAATAACAATATAAGTATAATTAAATATTGAAAATCAATAAAAATAACTTACTAACTATTATTTTATTAATTATTTTTTAAATAATAAATTTAGTTAACTTTAAATTATAATAAAAAATATAATTATTAATTAATATCTTACTTTCTATAATATAATAAAGATATTAATATTTTTATTTAAATTATAATAAATATAATTTATTGAATTAATAAATATAATTTATTGAATTAATAAATATAATTTATTGAATTTATAAAAATAATTTATCATCTAAATTATTAAATTTTATTTTTAATAAAAATTTTGTTTATAAATTTTAATAAATATTAAATAAAAATTATAAATATAAATAAAAAATGTATCAACTAAAATATCATAAATTATTATTAAAAATTTTTATATAATAATTAAGTTTAAAACATAAAAAATAAAATACTTACTTCCTATAATATTATTAATTATTAAATATTCTTTGAATAATAGTTTAATTTATATAAATTAAAATATAATAATAAAAATTAAATGGTTTACAATCTAAGTATTGTTATCATTAAATTATTTTTTTAAAAAAAATATTAATTATTAGATTATTATATAATAAATAAGATAAATAAAGTTTTCTTTTAATGTTGAAGTATCTATAACTGGTTCTATTATAATATATTTATTTTTAAGAAATTTTGAAATTAATATGGTTTATAATAAAATCTAATATTTAGACAATTTATAAATATTCATTACCATTTAATCTTTCTAGTATTTGAACAAATATTGAGTATAATTAATAGATTATTATATTTGTTAATTAATTATATTTGCTATTATATTTACTTTTATCACTTGATACTAGTACTATATTTTAAGTTTAGTAAAATTTTAATAAATAAATCAAAATGAAAAATTACAGTATTATGGTTATTATATTCACTTTCATTATCCAAGGTTAATTCTACATTATAAATAATTAACAAATTCTTTTAGTACTAATTAATTATTTATAGTAATTGTTGTATATACCTTCATCATTTGAAACTAATTCTATATTCGAATTTGATAAAATTTAATTTTTAGCAAACAAAAATAAATATATTACCTTCTAATGAGGAAGCTTTTTTAGCATCCGAAACTGGCTTTAATGTAAATTCATGAAAATAAAAAAAAATTTTAGAATATTATCAAACCGTCAAATTAACTCATTTTATTCATACGAAGCTTGATATCTTTTATTCCTTTTTATTGTTTGGTAAAAATATTTTTAGTTTCTTTTTTACACTCTTACCTTTATAATTACTATTATTACTATTAGACATTGTTATAATTTACAATGTTTTTTTTTCAAAAAAAAAACAGAATGTAATATTGTCAAGGTATGTAGATCTTACCGTATGTAGGGAAAGGTTTCCATTGTTAAGTCTGGAGCACAAGTGTAACGAACGAAAGGGTATCGCTCAAACTTTGAACGGGCGGATAGCGGGACATTTTTATCATAGCGCGTAGACAATAATAGTCCTTCGCTACGCTCCGGACTGACAATCATTACGGTTCAAAAGGCTTGTCTGAAATCTGTGACAGGTATTTATTTTTTTTTATATGTAATTTATATTATATTTTGTATTAATACATAAATTAAAATTTTTTTTTTTTAAAAAAAAAAAAAATACTTCGATAAATCTAGTATTTGAGTGGAAATAGCATATTTAGCCATACGAAAAAAATAGGATTAGAATTAGGGTTGGACCAAGACCTATGTCATCGGTCTTTTAATCAAGACCGGTCTTTTAACCGTCGATCTACAATTGATTCATTACTAAAATTTCACCCTCTGACCCATCACTTTTTTTTTTTTCAATATCCTTATTTTCAAAAAAATAGATCTATCATTCCTTTCAACTTATACAGCTTTAAAATTTATTTTAAGAGAATTCAGTAATTATACACCAAATTTTTCTAGAGCTTCTTCAGAACAAAAGGAATATTATTTTGAATTTATTTTTTTTAGTATTATTTTATAATTGAGAATTCAATGCCCGTCATATAACATAATAAGATTTTCAAAAAAAAAAAAAAAGGGAAAAGCAAAGTCAATTTTGGACATTCGTACTATAATTTGTCGAAGACTAATCAAAACCTAATCCTGATAACCATAACTGGTATCTAATCCTATTTTTTACAACTTCAGGTAAAATCATGTTTATTTCGTAATTACGTCACATTTATTTGGTACATTTTACGCCACTTGTGAAACAAAATGAAAATTATATAAAAACTTTTAAATCTTTAATTCTTTTTTTTTAAAAAAATGACTGATAAATTCTTAAATGTTTTATCCAAAGATTATAGTAACGCACTTGAAACCGGTGAATTTTCCGATACCGAAATATTAGTTGGAGAAGGACTTGACTCCAAAGTATTTCGCCTACATTCTTTTGTATTAAAAATTAGATCCCCCTACTTTCGTATCGCTTTGTCGGAAAATTGGGTTCGAACTAAAAATGACATCATCGAACTCCAAAAACCAAATATTCCCACTAGAATTTTTAATATACTTGTCGAGTAAGTGTTCAGTTAGATGTCGTTACATATACCTTTTATTAATCCTTTTTTTTTTTAAAAAAAAAAAAAAAATTTCATTTAGGTATATGTACTGCGGGACTATCAATCTTACAGGTCAAGATACCAGTACGAATATTGCGCTGTTGATTGCAGCTGATGAATTATGTCTTAATGATTTATGTTCATACATTGAAGAAGAGCTTCTTAAATATAAAGCGTTGTTAAAACATAACTTCGTCCTTATTCATCAAGTCACAAATCAATACAGTCATTTTACAAAATTATTCCAGTTCCATCAAGATAACTTTCAACAAGATCCTTCTTTAATTTTCAAAGCTAAGGATTTCACAACTATTAAGCATGATGTGCTTCTTGATATATTGAGATCTAATCATTTATTGAAACCAATTGAAGTTTGGGACAAACTTATAGAGTGGGCAATTGCACAAACGAATGGATTACCGTTGGAGATCACAAAGTGGACCTCTGACAATGTTTCTACTTTTGGGAACATTATTCAACCATTTATCCCACATATTGATTTTAAAGAAATTCATCCTTCTGATTTCTTTCAAAAGATTAAACCCTTTAAAAGCATTTTTAATATTGAATTTTATGTTAAACTCCTTGAATATTATTCTTTTAACGATAATAGCCATTCAAGACATAAAATGAATATTGATTCTAAAATTATTGATTCTGAACAAGCCTTTTTGCTTGCTAATTTTATTAAATTAATGAAAAAAGAAGTCCTTAATACTTTTATGAAATTTGAGTTGCTTGTACGCGGAAGCAGAGATGGTTTTGATGTTAAAACTTTTCATGAAAATTGTAGTAATAAAGGACCTACCATTACTATTGCTTGCGTTAAAGATACTAATGAAATACTCGGAGGATTTAATCCATACAGTTGGGGATTTGAAGCTGAAGTTACTGTTTCCCCTACTCCCTTCACTTTGCATCATCCTGTTTCTGGATGTGATAAAGAAAGTTTTATTTTTTCATTAGATAGAAATAATCTAGAAAATTCCATATTTAGTAAAGAAAGTAAAGCATTTAATTTCATGTCAGAATATGGTCCAAATTTTGGTACGTCTGATTTATGTTTACTCGTTAATTCCACCAACAAAGGTCAATGTCATAAGAAAAATTACGAAAAGTTAATTAAAAATTATGCGGGAACTTTTGAAATAAGTGATTATGAAGTTTATCAAGTTCAGTTGACCCGGAAAAACGTATGTGAAGGGGTTAGGAGGAATGGGTATAGGAGGGAGAGGGGGAGGGTGTACGTTAGGGGTGGTTATAGAACTTAATTGCTAGCAAATTTTATTAGATTATAAAAGATAAGTCTGAAGAATGAATGACGCCGTAAAATGATGAAATTTTACCTAGCGTAGGTCTCAAGCAATTCTCAAAATAATCAACCAACCAAATTATTCAAATATTTGCCTAGATTATTTGCAGAGGAGGTTTACTAACATTCACTGGCGTAGTTATATGCCAAGAGCGAATATGAGTTAATCTTTGATTTATCCATACAAAAATCCTAACCAGGAGTGAAAAATACAACCGCGTTGTTTCTACATGAATATTTTCATGAGAGTTTTTCCAAGACCGGGGATTTTTATATTTTATTATTTAGCATTGCAGTTTTTTAACTATTAAAGTAAAATTATCAAGAATGTGTCAAATAGTACAGAATAAATTAATCATATCATCCCTAATCCAAGATGTATATAATTTTCTGAATACTCGATGTCCTTTGTTGTAACATACTTCTGCAATCGAAAGTTTTTAATTGTATATATTATATTCAAATTTCGAAGTCTGTTTACCTTTTTGTAAAAATGGATTATAAAGTCAAAACTAATATTTCTCTTGGTATAGAGCATTTTCGCTTATATAAATGATGTTTCTACTGACGAAGCCCGTTATGCTAAAATTATCATTTTTTACAGTAAAAAACATAGAGAATTGAATAACATCATGATTTACGAGAAAACGTGTGAAATTCGTTTTTCATCATCAAGGTTCTATTAAATATTAATATAGATTTATCATCATAATTATTAATAATTTTATTTTATATTTATTAATAAATTCAGTTAGAATTAATTGTAACAAAGGATTCTTAATTTGTTCTAATTTGCTTATTATTCTTTTGAATTAACAGAGCTTTCTCATTACTTTTAACCAAATCGACAGAAGATACATTCTTATGATCTTTATACCTGTACAATTTTTCAATTATTGTGTAATATACCGCGCTTTTTAAATATAAAACTTTTTACTGAAAATAAAAGAAAAGGTAATTACATACTTAAAAATTTTTTGAGGAATTTCTTCAAAAAAAATATTAATGCAAGCTCCCCAAAATATTTTACTTGATGTTGCTTTAGAAAATTTAGTATTAAAATCAAAAATGAAGCTTCCGCTAAAGCGGTGAATATTGATACTATTGATCATCCTGAAAATTAAGTTCAATCCAAGCTACAATAAATGGAACAACCACAAGTACAATGCTTTGAAGAGAAAAAAAATATAAAATGTAATCATTTTTGAATTTTTGTTATTGATAAATACATTTTATCACCTCGGAATAAATTATCCATCAGAAATTATCAGACCTAATTATAAAATTTTGCCTATATCATATAAATATATGAAACATTTTAGTTACTGGTTTTTTTATAATTATTGAAGTTCATGATATTACATCCTTATATTATATCTTGCTAAAAGAAAAAGGAGAGCAATACGAATACGGTTTGCCAATAGTACAATTATAGACATTCCATAACATTTCAACAAACTGGCTATTTTACAAGTTCATTTGGTAAATTTTAAATAATATTAGGTTCAAGAATTAATTCTTATGAGAGAGATTGTATCCATAACCTTGATCCAAATATTTTGAAGATTCGCCGGCTGTAATAATACTTTTATGCTTGATCAAAGTATCTAGATCTTAAGCGCTCTCTCTTTATTGGAATCATCCTTTTCTATATCAATAGATAAAATTATTTGTTTTGGAGAAACTGAAGGATCAGTTATACGTTCCGGACTAACGGGGATTGCATAAGCAAAATCTCGTCTCGCCTTAATTTCATGTAAAAATTTTACGACCAACATCATCAAGTCCTTCATAAAGAGCGGCTACTTCTGGATTTAATCGAATTCTTCCTGCAATCGTACTTAAACTTTTTCATCTACCATATATAATTTAAAATGATTTAATGTGTAGATTTCTTAAAATAAAATGAATTAATAAATTACTTACGTGTCGTAGTTGTAAACCAAACATTATTCTATAAGCCCTGTAGTATTTCTTGATAAAGCTGACTCTTACAAAACCATATTCTATTACAGCATAATATTTTTTATCAGGTTGTTTGAATGAACTTTCAATTATTTTAACAATAACCATCTTTGTCAAGCTTTACATAATCGGTTATGCTCCAGAAATGTTTTGATGTATAATCTTGCGAACATTTTGAAATATTAAAATATTACAATTTGATAAATCAATAGGATCGTGATAAGAAGATGTAATTCATATAATAATGTCGGAACTGTAGTGTTAATAAGTTAAATTTCTATACCATGGTCTATAATATAATATTTTAGTTTTCAATATAACTTACCTAATTCCTTGGCAAATCTATACAAATCATTTGTGGTTAAAGTCCATCTTCGATTACAACTAGCATTCGTAATTCTCTTGATAGGATTATTCAAACCCAATCATAAGTTTCATTGCCATAAATAATGTAACCATCATTATTTGTGCCGATTACATTTATTAAATAATTCCCATATTATAATAACCTAAAGTCATAACTATCAATTCCTGGGTTAGTTTATCTGTCACTGAAGAGTCTTTCAATGTAATGGTGATCCAACACCATCTATATTCTGGACCGTAAAAAGTTGAACATTAAGAATCTACTATCTGTCGTTAAAATGCCTGCCTATTAGAATGATACACTGTAAAAAAAAAGAAAAAAAAAGTTAGATTCAAAAATCTAAAACGTGTAATGAATTCGTGCTTAGGGCGGTCGGGAGTCAGATCTTAAGAGTCAATGTATTAAAGGAACGAACTCGTAAAGATAATTACTTATCACACGCAATAACACTGGGATAATACTTGTCTTTAGAAATAAACATCCCGGGTATATCGAATCGGTAGGTCAAGCAATATTTCGCGAATATTGTTGAACTCGTAACTAGAATGGAAAACCACTACTAATACAATAAATACCTTGTAAATCGTGGGAAGAACACGCTCAAATAAATTTCAATAGCGAGAAGGGTTCAAACGGTTCCACCGGTATGCTTATTAGGATGATAAAAAAAAAAAAATGTTAAATTAGTAACCTAATATTTTTGAAAAAGTAAGGAATTGCTTGGGGCGGTTTGGAGTCAGTTCTTAAGAGTCAATGTATTAAAGGAACGAACTCGTAAAGATAATTGCTTATCAATACGCTATAGCACTGGGATAATACTTGTCTTTAGAAATAAACATCCCGGGTATATCGAACCGGTAGGCCAAGCAATATTTCGCGAGTATTGTAGAGCTCGTAACCAGAATGGAAAACCACTACTAAACAAATACCTTGTAAAAAACGCGAAGGGCGCGTTCAAAATATAGAAATGTTGTTTGGAATTGTGTGTTATTTTAGGTATGAGGAGTATGAAGGGGAATAATGTGTGTGTTTAAGAGTTTGCATTTTCTTTTTCTTTTAAAATAAAAAAAATGATGTAAGATTATTTATTCAATTGGTGTAATAGATAATTAATAAGATTAATATATTTTGTTCCATCACATATTTATTATTACTTAAAATAGCAAGTATTAAAAAATTAACCATTCTAACTGCAGAATGATCTCGTGTTAATGAGTCATCAATGGAGATTCATGAAAAATTTAATATTGATAAAAAAAAAAGAGATAAACAAGTAGATAAAAATTTTCTAAAAATTTTCTTCCAAGAGTTGCGATTGCAGATCACATTTCGCAAACACTTGACGTTTGTTAAAAAAAACCCCCCGTTTATAAACCTGGATCAGGTGAAATTTTCGATTTTTTAAGTTGCAAGCTGGCATAGCTACTAGCTTACCAATTCCGGTATCCCGTAAATTTTTTATAATTAACTAGAAATTAATTAGTAACATAAATTTTATAATTATTGTAATTATAATACTTTTTTTTTTTTTTTGTTACTTATTCATTAATTGTGAAGCCTTTGACTTAGATAATTAAAATTAGAGTCAGTATGATAAAAAATTAAAATAAAATTTATCTGTTTATCTTGTCGAAATTGTTTACAGATTCTTTTTTTTTCTCTTTTAACGTTTCATATCTAATTTTTAATACTACTATAATTGTAATATAATTGAAACTGAAGAATCGATTATCATAATATTATATAAACGTTTCTTAAACGTATTGAACCATCACATAATTAAGTCCAAAAAATATGGGCGATATACTATTAAATTCATGTTACGAATATATGATTTACTATGACTTGAGACTCAATTTAAATAGCAAACGACACTTATATTTCCTTCTTTGATATCCAATATCATAATAATAATTTGCATTAATTATTTATATTTTAATCTAAGAATTTACTTACAAGATATCCTTGATTTACTTCGGGTAAGAAATTTTATTTTTTTTTGTTTAAAAAAAAAATAAAATAAGAAAATAAAGGTATTCATACATTTTTAACCATTCTTTAAATATAAATGTAGATACGGAAAATAATAAATCGGTTAGGTTTGATAAGCTAATGGCGAGAAACCGTCTCTAATAATTCTATTGATGACATAATTCATACCCCGACGATAGATTAATACAAGATCAAAGTTACATTGAAAAGTTTTACCTTGCAAAGCTGAGTAATCGAATAGTAAAATTCTTTCTATATTAATAATTACAGACTGAACAGTTGCACAATTTAAATATTCGTGTTTATTTGAAAACTATATCCTTTAAAATAACCAAATTTAACACTTCACGTAATTTTTCCTGTTTCCAAATCAACGAAGGTGGTAAGATGGCAACATTAGTCCGAATGTGATGATAAAATGTTTTGCCCCAAGTTGCAATATGGCTTTGATCTTTGACAATAATTATGATGTCCCACAGCCCCAATTTTAAATTGGGGCAATAGTCAACTTAGGGTACTGCATGTCTCAATTTCCAAAGTGTCCCAATTTAAATTGGAGCAATGGTTAACTTGAGGCACCGTGCACCGCATGTTCCAATTTCTAATTTTAAATTTGGGACAATGGTAAACTTGGGGCATCGCATGTCTCGAATTCTAATTTGACCAATTTTAAATTTGGGCGGCAAATCGCATTGCCCGAAATCGAAATTTGAATTTGGGGCAGAACCTTAACTTGGGGCACAACACATCAAGGAATCGTACTGAAAAAATATTTGAAATATATAAAAAATGTACAAAGAAATGTATTAAAAAAGATTGAAAAATTCTGAAACCATACGGAATTTAAAATAATTGATAAATCGAATAAAATAATTTTTTTTTTCTGGCGTTCAAAGTAAACTTGAAAAGTCTTTTACAATTAAGTAGTATCAACGTCCTTAGTATGATCAGAACATTCTAACTAATAACGACTTTAATCCAAGTCATTTGAATCAATTATAAAAGTCCTTCATTCAATTTATCTAGTTTTTATTAACTTGAAATACGTAAATATCTTAACATTCCTCGTTAAAAAATTATTAAAAGAATCCACTTTTCTCGTATTATAGAAAAAAGCACCCAATTAATAGAAAGAAGTAAATTACAATCTGAAATAAAATCGATTAATTAAAATAAAACGATTTCGTAAAATGTCATGGTTACGAAGGCAAGGCGAAGAAAAAAGGTAAGTAGTTTCACATTATTTTGACAGTCCAAACATGAACATTTACACATAATTTCATTGACAACAGTATGTTAATATTATGACAAGAAATTTATAATTCCGGTCTAAAGATAATTAAAAACTAGGCAATATGTCGATAAGCTCTGCTCAACATACCACTTCTTATTTAATAAGCAAATAAAAATTTATTTAAAACTTTAACTAAATACAGAATTTACGATTAAAAGGCCATAATTGTAATGAAACTATTAGAATAATATATTTTATTAATGAAAACCTCCTTGTTTACTTATATGCAGAAAAATTAATTGGATTAAACTTTCTTTGGAGTTTAACTAACTACCCTCTGTTTCAATTTGAGAAACTTAATCTATTTTCAAATCTCAAAATAATCATTATTATTCGAAATTCTTTTAATCAATTCACTATAAGGCTTTACAAAAGGATGTATTTCATTGTCTAAATACTGACGTCCATAATAATCATGAGTTGAAAACAAAGCACTAACATTATATGCAAAATTCGTTACCTTTTTCTCCCTTACAAATTCTTTTAAAACATCAAAAATAATATCATTTTGGGATTTATTAATAACCAGTAGACTGTTCAAACCAACAATGTGTTTGCAATTATCCAAAAAGATTTTCAAGTTGATTGGATCAATTTCAAGGTTTAATTCTAAATATTTCAAAGTATCTGGTAAGATTTGACCCAAATTTGTCAAGATCATGGAACTAACTCTTAGTTGTTGATCGTCATAGTCCGACTCAATAAGACAAGGTTGACGATGATTCTGAATTTGAAGCGAAAGATATTTGAGATGTTTGCGAACGTGAGTGATTAATTTAAACAACTGAACTATGTCCACATGTTCAATCTCAGATATATGGAGAAATTGAACTTTATTACAATGATTGATAATACTTTCATAAATGATTTTTCTTTCAATCACAAGTTTTATTTCCAAATTTTCCAGAAAAGAACCGATTTTTTGAAACAATGATTGAATAAAAGTAATTTCCATACTTAAACCATCTAGTGTTAAAGTTTTGATTTTTAGTGGAGTAGAAATGTCAAGTAAGGGTCGAAAAACCTGAACTGTTATCCCTTTGCATTGTTTGAATTGAAGTGATTCAAGGTGTACAAGGTAGTTAAGTCCATTCAATGATGGCAAGTCGTTAAAATTACACAAAATAAACTTGATTGATGTTAAAGTATTAGAACAATACTTCAAAGCACTCATTAAGTAAGCTACTTTTGATGATATAGTATAAAGTGTAAGGATAAAAGTTGCGTTTGTGATTTAATCAAATATTTTAAATTCCTCTCAGATAAGTTCTCTTTCAAACTAAAATAAATTGTAAAATGCTTGTTTGAAGTTATCGCTGATGGGGAGTCCTCGAAGGAAGGTATCGGTAAATGAGGGATAACTTTACTCCTATCAAAATCTAATGTAAAATATTTGATGTCTGATAGAAATTTAGGTTTCTTGCATATTTCATTGAAAATCATAACATTAAGAGCATGTTGGCTATGACAAATTTTTATATATAAACTATTTAAAGAAATGTCATTACTTATAAATAATTTAAATAATAATTCACAAATAGTGCTTAATAGAACGAGTAGCTTTGCAGGTTCATTATGAAATAGACTTATCGCAAAATCTGTTGTTAAAGGGTTGGTATCAATTAAATTTTCAATAAATTCTGTTACATGCTCTTGCATTCGGAGTTGATTTAAAGTTTTAATAAAGCTGGGGTAATTAAATAAAGGTTTTTTAAATGATGATGGAAAAATTAATCCTTTTAACCTTGCTTTATCCTCATCATTAAGAAATAATAAATAAGTAGTCAGAAATTTACTATTCCTCATAATGTAAAAAGGATCTTCCCAAAGTATGGGAATTGTAATCCAACATAAATGCCTATTGACTAATACGCATGAATAAAGTGACCTTAAATGATCACGTAAAAATTGTATGATATAATTTGTTATTTCCGGTAAAACCCCGGAAAATAATTTTTTACATGCCATATTGTTAGGAAGAACGTGAGAAGGTAGAACGAAATTGGAAATAATTATATATATATACATATATTGTTTCACAAAATGTTGACAAGTCCAGTCGCACAAGTTTCTTAAACGATACCGTACGCTGCTTGGCTGTGCTGTTGTGCATCCTCATTAAAAAAATTTTACATCGATTTACAGTATTTTTAATGCATGCGTCGGTTTCCCAATCAATCGCTGCGATTATTTTTTTCATTTACGCAATTCGCGGTTACACTGAAATCGTAGTAAAATGAAAGGGGTGATGGTCAACTGATACGGATGATAATATGTTCACCCGCACATCCTTCCCGTTGTTCCTGTTGTCCATCTTGAACATAATTTCTTTGAATTAGCAATAATTTATTAAGTATTATATTTCTCAGATAAACTTATGATCACTATTGTCGTTTCTATGATATTGCTCATTTTAAAATTATGATTTCTCATGACATGTGAAAAGTTTATAAATATTTGCCAAATTTTATTATGAAGCCATTTTTTAAATGAGATTAAATGTTGTCAAAGTTTTTCATTACTTATTT